AGTTTTTGGCATATCTGATTCAAATGCAGTTCATAAGTTGAGAGAATGCTGTGAAGACATACTAGACAAGAAAATTGTCTGAAACCCTTGTATACACCTGTACAAAGCCTGAGCCTTGAGATAACCCAGGCTTGAGCCCGAGGAAATGTACGTTTTATACTAAATCAAATGGTATCTAAGGGGTTAAACAAGCTAGGCTAGATTCCTGTTGCTCCACTGGGAGGGGGCTTTCTGGAAAGAGATTTTTGCAAAGTGTGAGAGGCCGACAGCAAGCTAGCTTACTCCGAGATTTACCTGGCATTGGGAGAGGGTTGTCCTCTCGGCCCCAAAAAGCATCTCGGCATCTCCCCTCTCCGCTAAGCTTTCTCACTCGTGGATCCATTTGTGTCTTAAGTTCTTATAGGCTAAAAGTTAGAAGTCCTCCAGAAATAGCCAAAGCCGTCTTACCAAATAAGGCCAAGAGTTGGAGGAGAGAGGTGGGGGAGGAGAAAGAGAGTAGGAGGGTGAGAAGGAAGAGGAGGTTGATGCTTGATTGGGTAGAAGATGGACTTTGATCAAGTGTGGGTTGGGGAGGGGGTCTGCACCCCCTTCTTTTACTTGTCATAGACAAATTAGTATCACCCCCCCCCCCTCCTCCTCCTGTATTGCACGATTGGACCCCTCCCCAACTTGTTTTCATTTTGCTCAAGTCAAATATTTTTGGGTGAATTCAACAGCCCCTAAATTCTGATGACTCCATCCCCCCCCCCCTCCCTCCCTCCGAAGGAAATCCTACCACCCCCTGGTTGGTGAAAGGTCTCGAGCCAGCCCAGCAGTATAGGCTACCTTTGTCTGTCTGTCCGTCTGTCTGTCTGTCTGTCTGACTGGCCTCTTTGTTTGTAGACATGTGTAGGCAGGCCCCTGTCAGAGTTGGATGCTGTGACTGCATTAGATCATCAAGAGGGGTTAAATTCTTTGGCTGGTCAGCCTCCCTCGCTTATCAGCCCCTCTCACTTATCGATGGATAAGAAGGTTTTTAATCGAGTGAGAACTTTTCATCAAGGGCATTTCATTGAAAAAGCTTCACAAGACATGACCATGATATCAGATTGGCACTTCAATGTCCTTTTTAAGGAAAAAGCTATATTGCATCAGCAGACTATGTTATAATCTATTTGTAGAGCTACTGCAAGGTCATGTGTCAGAGAGGTGATCTTATTTGTCATTGGTTGTTTGACATATAATATATTGTTGCACGAGCTGCCCCACATGCTTCAAGTGTTCTATCGTCTACAGAAAGAATCAAATCCAGCAACATTGTTGAAATGTCTGCTACAGCAAGGCACAATTACTTCCCTGCGTGCTATCAACGAGCCCCCGCTAACATGAAGCCAAAACATTTAGGACGCTCATTGTCTGTCAGAATGCCTGCAATTTTTTCTCCCACTCTTATTGTACATTGCAGGTCCCCCGCCATTAGGTTCCACTTGAAATTACTTTAATCTTTTTAATAGGATTTCATTTTTCAATTTCATTTGAATGAACAAGTCAGTTTGCTTCGGCCTCACCGCCAAAACAAGATTAAACTACAGGCAGTTTTGGGGTTTGTTTCTCTTCTGCTGGTTATGCATGTGTACCTCAATGTGTAAACCTTTCCTGAAATCCTGTTCCTCCTACTACTCCCTCTTTCTCTTTCCATTTCCTTCTCATTCTGGTGCTTTCTCTCTTGCTCTCTCTTCATCCCTCTCTTTATCTCTATATATATCTCTCTCTCTTTCTCTCTCTCTCTCACTCTCGTGGTCTTCTCTTGTTTTCCTTTCTCCCTCTCCCTCTTCTCTCCCTCCCTCTCTCTCTCCCTCTCTTCTCTCCCTTTCTCTTCTCTCCCTTTCCTCACTTCTCTCTTCTCTCCCTTTCTCTCCCTTTCTCTCTCTCTTCTATCCCTTTCTCTCTCTTCTATCTTCTCTCTCTCTCTTCTCTCCATCCCGCTTCTCTCTCTCTTCTCTCCATCTCGCTTCTCTCTCTCTCTCTTCTCTCTCTTCTCTCTCTTTCTCTTGCTTTCTGTCACCTTTTCTCTGCCTTCCTTCCTCCTCAGTAACCATGTCTTAATTTCTTAGCACTTTACTTAAGCTGTATCTGTTTAAATATAAATACCCTTTTTTAATTGCTTTAATGGATGTCTAGTAGAAGACAAGTCATGGTTTACAAAGATACAAGCATTTCTTATATCTCTGTAATATTTTGGATTTTCCTTGGTATTGATTACTTGTTATAAGGCCTTCTAAATCACCCCTCTTCCTTTCTCATTATGTCACTCTCTCTTTAATTTTCCTTCATTCTTCTTTTTCCCCACTCATTAGTCTTTCCACCAGCTGTTGGTAATTCCATTAGATTGTCTCTCCCCTCATGCCCTGTTCATAATCTTGCATCATTTTTCAAGAGCGCGTATGCATAATTTCCCTCGCAGATTCCTAGGCCTATGGGGCTTATCTGCGCCACCTTGTTTTATGTCAGTGTAGTCTAATAATGCTGTTAAGGGTGGTCCCATTCACACTGTCCCCTCTGGCTATCTCGATCACGTGTATTATGTGCTGCGTAGTTCATGAAAAGGGGTCCAGTATGAACGGGGCCTTTAAGTGCAGAAGAGTTGTTTATGTGGGAGGGTTACATTGTTTAGCTGTGCTTCATTTATGGCCTCTCTGTGTATAGATTACGGGCACTTGAGGGAGCAGCGCAAAGATGAGGGATTTAGGGGGACAGGCTATTTTTTTTCCCTCTCAATACTATGAGGAAATCAAATGGCTACACAGGGGTAGGAATAGGTCAATGCTTCGTCTGTTTGGAGCCATAAGGACGCTAACTCACATACTTTAACAGAGCTAACGCTTTTCTGGCTCTGAACCTGTTACTTGTTTATCAAATAGGATTCCCTAATATCAGATCTTGCATGATGAATGAAGGAGTAGGACTTTACCTCTAATCCTCTGGACTGATTGTGTATGTGACCTCAGGTCTGTTGATGTGAACTCTTATCTTGCCATGTTCATATCTAAACAAGATGTCCATGCATGGTATCGCGTGTGAGAGATCACATGTCCATGGGGGCCTGGTATGCTGTAAGTATGCAGGCATTGAATAAAGACTCCCATTTGAATGGAGCGCTTCAAGTGCCTGCATATATTTAAAAGAGATATCAAAAATATTCTCTGCAGTGCCAGGGCACCACCGGATTAATACACGTACACAGTATTTTGACCTGCTTCAAGTACGGCTTATGTGCTTAGTATGCTTCATTATTCAGAGAAAATCTGTATCTCCTTCTCTTCTTTCTTTTCTTTTTTAAATAATAATTTGAAAGAGAGATTGTGTTGAGAGAAAGAGAGAGAAAGGGGGGTCAAAGGTCACCCATTGGCCTCTATCTCTGTATGTTAATCTTAAATGTATCTCCTGTATACTGGATAATCTCCATGATAAAGGACATCGGTTAAAGATGCATCAAGTCTGCTTTATAAATTGCCTTTAAATGTATATTGCAGTCATGGTACACTCTGTAGAGGCATGATGTAATTAAGATAGCACGCTGGACAATGGGCCTTCGGAGAGGCGAGGGGTCGAAGGTCGCATATCAGCGTCTATCTCTGCATCTCAGGGATTGCACTCTTCCTCTCGGTGCGTCCCGTCTTCGGGGAACGAATCCTACCACGTCATTTCAAATTGTCACCTCGAATTACACAGGGCCCTACAGTTTCTGGTCAGAGTGAGGATGTGTTTGTGTGCGAGCAACAGCTTCTTAGTGTATGGGTCGTTGTGTAGATCATATGTTCAGTTGCTTGCACAAGATGGGTATGTGGAATGAATGCACTTGTGTGTGATTTGATGAGATTATAGATGTCGGTTTCTGAGAAAAGTACATTTATATTCCTGCCAAAATCAGGGGAAAATTGTTACTTGGCGTGTTTTGAAATACATTTCATGAGATGTGTGTGTGTGTGTGTGTGTGTGTGTAAAAAGGGTTTGAGGTGAAAGGGAGAGGGATAGAAAGACAAAGGTGGTGAAGAAAAGGAAGATATACAGCAGAGAGAGAGAGAAAGAGAGAGAGAGTGAGAGCGAGATGGGGGGGGGGGGGGGGGGGGGGGTAAGAGATCAATTGCTACTTAATAGAAATAACCAGGCAACATGGAGAGAGCGGGAGTGCATGTGATAGATAACGAGAGGTGAAGAGAATGATATGATAGATGATGGACAAGAGGAAGGAATAATAGAAGGATTAAAAGAAAGAATAAAGGAAGGAATTAAACAAGAAGGCGAGAGGAAATGATTTGTGGGACATGCCAATATGGTGGCCTGGATGTGTGGAGGAGAGACAGGAAGAGCGAAGCCTGATATTCGGGGGGAAAAAGTTAGGGAAGAGTTTGAAATTCGAGAAAAGAATCACGTCGAGTTTGTCCCTCAGCTCCCCACCGTCCCTATCACCCTGTGCCTCCCGTCGTATTTCCCTGTGCAATTAAAAAACGTTGTTTGGGAACCGTAGAAGCCCCCATCCTAGCTGGGACAAACATCCAGGCTAGCTCACTACGGGGAGTCTTGGGTCACGTCACTTCATTTACCCAGCTAAGCCCTCAAGTTGGAACGAAACTGGCCTGGATTATGTGCACTAAGGCTTCTTGCACTTAGCTACATATTTGTTTAGCCTCTCTCAAAGTGAATATGTGGGACTGCTGCCCGTGGAATGCCTGAATGGAATGCTTTAAATGAATGTCTCCAAGAGAGCCAGTTACCAAATAGTATCACAAATAAATTTATGATTATTAAGAGCAAATACTACCGCACTCTGTTGTACCGCAGTGAGAGTTAACCCAATTTTCTCTTACTTTCCAGTACCAATCCCAAATAGATTTCTTTAAAATAAATAAAAGAACAGTGATTGAAAATCTATTGTTGAAATTGAATGTATTGGATATTTCAATATTAAAATGAAATGTGTGTTGTATGTCATATCTAATAAATTCCCTTCCTTTTCTCTTTGTCTTTCTGATTATATTTTAGGTTGAAGAAGTAACTCTTATGTTTGACCGTACTACAAACAGACACAGAGGTAAGAACATACTTTCATACTTAATTAAGTAATATCATTCTCCACTTCTTCATCAGAAATGTTAAAGATTATTATTCTCAATCTTGAAAATCAATCTGGCAATCTTTTTCATTGGAATCTGATGAAAAATGGAGCAATCTTTAATATATCTTTTTCATTGGAATCTGAAGAAAAATGGAGCAATCTTTAATATATCTTTTTCATCAGAATCTGAAGAAAAGTGGAGCATGAGTAATGAAATCAGATGACAGATGACTTTGGATCCAATTTTAAATCAGCATCATAAAGATATCTGTTTAATAATAGGGGAATTAAAATCTAATTGGAGCAATGTTGCGAATAGATGGAAAACTGGGTGACTGATATGAAATCGCCATCATGGAGAGATAGCGGGATTTCTAATGAAACCAATGTTGCTTAATGGACATTGGTGGTCACCTTGAGATTAAAACTGAGCTAAGCTGGTATTTAGATGGATTTCTAAGAAGATTTAAGCCGGGAGGATTAGACAGATAGCATCAGTAGATTAGGGAGGAGAACATCCATGGAACTCCGGGATGGAATCACGGTGTCCTTGCGTGACATTTGCAGGAGCCGATAAAATTCCTGACGAAAATAGGATGCAACACGGGGCGTACAAAACGTGTTTTGATTTATAGAAAAGCCTGCTCGTAGATTAGGTTTTCATATCGCATCGGCAAGTCATCCAACAACTATTTGCAAGAACGGGATTGTTTGGGGAGATTGTCATTGTTATTTATGGCATCCGTTCCAATAGAGAGGGCGAGGGAGCATGGGACGAGGGGAGGAAGGGCTGGATAGGGGGTGGAAGATGGGAGGAGAATGCAGAGATTATGCCTGTGGACTCGGGAGATTTGGTAGGGAATAGTAGTAGCAGTGACAGCTTAAATTTGGGTTACATCGGGGAAAGCCTGTGTGGGTGTGTGGATGCATGTGTAAATGAGAGAGAGAGACAGAGAGAGTGTTAGAAGAAATATGTAAAATATGTTTTATTTCATAAAGAATGTGAGAAGAACATAGAGAAAAAAACATGACCTGCAATAGGCATGTTTAAGAAAAAAAGGAATGCATACGGTACACAATAGTATGTTCCTTTATTGTATTCCTCTTAACAATAAAATATAGACATAAGACACAATTAGTTGATGATGAATTAAGATTAATATAAACAAAAGATAGTAGATATATTATTATTAATATTCAATTTTATATCCTGTTTGGGTTTGTTTTGATTAAGCCAGGGAAAATGATGATTTTAGCATATTCATGTATTATCTCAATGTAATTTAGGTCTTTCCAAATACCAACATATTTTGAGCATTGTTGAAGCATTGGGACGGTCAAAAGAGGCAAGAATTTTCATCTTGAGCTTTCATTTTCCTTTATATGAAGACAATCTGAGCAATGTTTTGTTGAGCCAAACGTTTTTTTTTTGTTCACCCCAGCAAAAATTTGTGTTTAATCTTAACCCATCCATCAAAGTCTATTTGTTTTCAATTATGAATTAATCTGTTTTCTGACAAGCATCCCTCCCTTCACAGATCTCTTTCATTACACAGTGCAAACTGGTTCCATCACGTGACGTGACTGGGAGTTTTGTTTTCCCCTCTCATATAATGTCTGCTAAAGGAGACTGACAAGGCTTATGCTCTATGAAAATGAGTGTAGCAATAGGAAAATGTCTTCTCTTGATGAATTTAAAAAAGATTCATAAAATTTCATACTATGAAAGAGTTTTTAATTTGTTACCGGTATAACAAAACATTAGATTTTGTGAAATCGTAAACACAATATTGCCTCAAAAAGGCCGCGATTCGGAGATGGGAGATTTTTTTAATATTGGTATTGGTGAAGTCTTGTGTCACAAGAGTTTCTGGTCTTCCTATAGAGTACCGAAGCTGTGACGTCATAAAAATCTATTTTGAGAATTTCTCAATTTTTTCTTCATTTTCCGAAAGAACATAAAAAATAATGTTCAAATGTCGAAAACCAATTGAATATGTTAAATATTGGTTGAGATATGACCATCTGAATAAATATACTCCCCATAGGAACTCAGTGTTATATGCTCTGGCTCCTAATGGTTAGGAGCCAGAGCATATAACACTGAGTTCCTATGGGGAGTATATTTATTCAGATGGTCATATCTCAACCAATATTTAACATATTCAATTGGTTTTCGACATTTGAACATTATTTTTTATGTTCTTTCGGAAAATGAAGAAAAAATTGAGAAATTCTCAAAATAGATTTTTGATGACGTCACACTTCTCCACTCTATTAGTGTGGTATCAGAAAACTTTCCTATATCATTGCTGTTGTATGCTGATGCTCCCAACCCAACAATATTGGGTACGCACTACACAGTTGTATAGTTGTTGTATTGCTAATAACCAAAGTTTGTGTTCTTTTTCACTGTAGTGTGGTATGTGTAAAAAACTGCCCTATATCATTGCTGTTGAGTGTTGTATGCTGGTGCTTCATATACCCAACAATATTGGGTATATACATGGTCGTATAGTTGTTGTAGTGCTAATAACCGATGTCCTCTTGAAGAGTGGTTTGTGGAGGAGTTTCCGGTGCCATGCTAAGCCAGCGGAAGGCCCTTGTGATATCCTACACCCTACCTTGCTTGTAATAGGAGCCCTGAACAAGAGGGGGCTCTCTCTCTCTCTCGATCTACCTGTGTATTCAGAGAGATTTCCATGGGATATCTCACTGAGCTATGGTAGTCATAAATAGGACAGATGGGAAGAAAAAATGACGGAGCCTAGCCTTGCAGGAAATCTCTGTGTACTTTTTGATCCTGTCTTCAAGGATTTGGGCTTTATAGCTCGTACAATGGAAGGAATAGTCGTGATGAAATGGTGTCATCGACCATCAAAAGTGTGTTGGTTTATTGTCTTCAAGGCTTGAATATGGAAGCCTCAATAGCTGTTATTGATTCTTAAAATGTATCTTTTCTTTATATAAAAGGGGTTTAGAGGTTGTAAAACCCTATAGATGAGGTCCTCACAATCGAGAATGAGTATGAGTAATACATATTAAATGTTGTCATTAAAAGGTTCTTTGATCAAAGTTGGATGAATAGGAATTACATTAAATACAACCTATTTGGGATTGATTGCAGCAACTATTTCAATCATATTCATCTGATTATGCACATAATGAAAGAAGTTAACAGACAAAAAGAAGAATAAATTGTATAGTAATGTATTCTGCAAAGATACATGCTAGGAAATGTTGGAGATAAGATGAATGTCCCTGTAAACTGATACCGGTACTTCAGCCTAGATCCTGCTAGAAATTGAAAGCAAGGCAGAAATATAAATAATGGAAGGAGGGAAATAGGTAAAGTATCAAGTCCAAGTGGATTCATTTGACCTACACAAAAGGCAGGACAAAGATTAATAGCTAAAAGAAAAGGGAAATGGAGTCCATGCTTAAAGAAGGAAAGAGGATAGAAAGTAAGAGCAGTCTGTGTGCTGAGGTGAGAACCATAAGGGCATTAAGTCTGTGTTGAAGCGTAGGAGGTAACCCCCTATCGGCTCTCACCTGACGCCTCCACGTGTATCAAGAACGGACCTTCTTCTGGGACCTGGAGAGGATGATAATGAAGAATGGATCCCAAGAATTCTGAAGGATGTAGACCAGCGAAGAGTTGTTTGTTCCCAAAGGGAGCAATTATATTGGCTTCAAACTCCCATTAGCGCCTCCAGTCCTCTCACACTCCCATTTTCTGTCATCCTATTTCTTCAGTCTCTGGCAGGATGGTCCTCATCAATGCCTTCATTCCACCATCCTCTTCCCATCTCTCTTCTTGGATACTATCATGTCCATGGGCTTTGATTTAAGATCACTTCTCAGGCTAGGCTTTTTCTGTTTTTGTTTTTTAATTTCTTTATTATATTTTTCTTCATTGATTTCAACATATTGTACTTCTAAATCTATGATTCATTTTAAGAATCCAGCCATCTCAAACCATCAGCTTTACAGGCTGCCAGATCTAACACGATTTTAATGGAGAGATAACTTGTGTGATTAAAGGAAATAAATACAGTTGAATTGATGTGTACCTTTAAAAGTGAGAAATAAAAAGCACCCTCTCACTCTCTCTTTCTATTTATGTACCTTACATGTTCTTTGTAGTTCTCCATTTCTGTTTCCTTCATCTTCCTTCCTCCCTCCCTCTTTACTTGTCTCTATCTCTCATTGTATTTTTTTTCTTCTCTCCCATTAATTGTACATGACTGTTCTCTTATCTACCATTCCATCTTGCCCTCATTTTTGATTCGCTCTCTTCGTCCACTGACCCTCCTCCTCTCCCTCCTCCCTCTCCCTCCTCCTCTCCCTCCTTCTCTCCCTCCTCCCTCTCTCCTCCTCTCCCTCCTCCTCTCCCTCCTCCTCTCCCTCCTCCTCTCCCTCCTCCTCTCCCTCCTCCCATCTCTTCCTCTCTCCTCTTCTCCCTCCTCTCCCTCCTCTTCTTCCTCCTCTCCCCCTCCTCCTCCTCTCCCTCCCCATCTCCTTCCCAATTTTCTTGGAGGTATAAACGCCGATGCTGCGGCGGGCGTAACCCAGTCATAGAATGCCCCTCTCTTTGTCGGCATCCCCTCCCTCCCTCGCTGGCAAGGAAGGAGATGAAGAATAAGCCTGGGAGAGGTTCATATGAAATTCCCTGACCCCTACCATGTAAAGTTAGGCCCTCAAGCTACCTTATAATTGGATAGCTTTGAATCCATCTTGAATTATATTGATCACGGTTTTCTCTTCCTTTTCTCTCATTCTTGCCTCATCCTCGTCTTCCGCTCACCAATCTTTATATTCGTATTCCTTTGGAGGCCCAAGAACATGATGACAATTTTACCGATGCAAGACTTGTCAACAGTCTTACGCGACCCTTTGAAATCTGTGTAGAGGCAGAAGGATGTTAACTCTTAACTAAAGCACTATAGTCACTGCCCTTCTGGCTCCTAGCACAC